CTCAAAGGCTGTGCAGCGGCAATTTTTGAAACTTGGAAACACTGTTGAAATGCATAAAAAAAATCGATTTTAAGTGAGGCAGCTTCCTTCACCGAATATCGATAATTTTAATGCATTTTAATGGAAGCAAGACAGTGTTGCCAACTTGCAAAAATCCTCACTGAGACTGTGTAAACATATTTTTCGTACCGGGCTCAGAGGACGAAAGTTCAAGGTTGACACCCCTCAACCTGAAGCAATCAAAACTACGGCTCAAGCACCCAGAACTATCGGCCTCTGAGCCCAGAACAAGAAGTATGTCAATGCCGAAGTCAAATCAGGCATTTTATCAAATGCCTAGGCCGATAGTCAAATTTTGACAGTTTACAGAATTCTGTAAATTAATGATATTTTGGGGAGAATAACTCTTCAAATCCGCAAACTCTCCTTGTTCCCTCCTTTTTACATGCCTTCAGTACATTTAAATGTTAAAATTTTAAAAATTCCATGTTTTATGACGTGCTGAAAATTTCATGAGAAATATGCATTCGGAATCTTAACTTTTTTTAAAATACTATTGTATGCTGCATATTTTCACAGAGAATTCTTTCTTACAGAGGCAACTAATTATTTTGTCTAAAATTAGCGTAAAAATCAAAATTTCAATCTGAGTAAGAATATTTGACTATTTGCCTAGGCATTTGACGAAATGCCTGATTTGACTATTTGCCTTCGACACCTATATGGATTGCATTTTGCAAAAAGGAACCACTAGCATTGCAATGATGCTAAGATTGTGCAACTTCATTTTTTGCAATAAAATTGCGGAAATCGTGAAAAACTACGAAATTTAAATGGTAATTTTTGTCTTAAATTTACAGTTTTTAGCGAGTAAAATAGGAACTATTAATGGATAATCGGGTTTCTCCTCCGAGACAAAAGAAGTTGCACAATCTTAGCAACATTGCAATGCTAGTGGTTCCTTTTTGCAAAATGCAATCCATATGATCGGTAACTTTTTTTTCAAAGGACCACCATAGTTATCACACAAGCTCTGCAATCCTTGAAAATAGGTTTTAAAGTTTCGGTTTGATGAGAGATGTTCGACCAGAGATGTAGGGACTGAGCGCTAGCCAATTAAGAACGTGGGCCGTATTCATCGTCGTTTCTTAAATGGACGTATTTCTATCAAACGGAACTATGTGCATTGTGACGGGAGCCCTGTAATGCATATATTCTTATGGGTAAGAGGGCTCATGTCCTAATGCACATAGCTCCGTTTGATAGAATTACGTCCAAACAGCTTTTTTTCTTAGGAATTCACCATACGATTTACACTGCTTCGAACCATTCTGACGAAACTTTAATAAAGTTTAGCAGGTTAACTTAAAGGAGGGTTAAAAGGAAGTTTCCGGACCCGTTTGACGCAACATCATTAAAAGTCATAAAAATAACGAAACTAGAGTAAAATTTGGCAACCTAACTTCAAAAATAGATTCTTTCTAGGGCTCAAAACGACCCACCACTGCAGAAAGCCCAGAGCCACTCTTGTCCCAATCATAGGTAAAAACTGGTAATTTTTTTCTTCTTTGTTTTGAGTTGTCGGTTTCAAAAGTCATGGCTTTATGTCAAAAAGACAGTCGGTCCATTGTAGTGGCATGTTGCATGTCATGAGAACACAGCACAAAAAAGTTCTTTTAGAGGTGATATCTATCGGATTCCCGACTTTTACCTTCCGCAGGAAATGCTTGAGTACTTTTGCGAGTGCATCAATCAATCAAACACGTTTCAAAGTTCAATGCACGGACAAAGGCACTTTACGCCGATGTCCGGATCACGAGGAAAACTTGATCAAAAAGTGATAGACCATTACGGCTGGTGGCATTACGCATATCGACGGTGAAACTACCAAACCACGTATCTCGTTTGCGGTGTTTAAAAATCTCCGCTCACATTTTATTTTTTTGAAGTAGACCAAATCAATACCATTCCTTGAAATTTTCACAGAATTTTCTCCGCACGAAGAGGAAAAATCACGGAAATTTTCAAGACTGGACGTTAATTAGCTTTTCATTTAAAAAATAAAGTATGACAGGAAGTCTGCGACGTCGCAAACCGAGATACGTGGTTTGGTAGTTTCACCGTCGATATACCGTTAGAACAGGTTTTTTTTTGTCACGTTGCGGACGCACGAGGTTTTCAATGACATTTCGTGCGTTGGATCGCTCGATCCACCTCTTAAACTCACTGGCGGATCTATTAAATTGGCAACATTGTTTTTCTCCACTTAAACCTATGGGAGTGTATCGATTCTTGGAGGGGCTGATGTCGCGACAAGAATCGATTATTTAACATAGGTTTAAATGGAGGAAATCCGGTGTTGCGAAATTGCTGGAACCGCCTCTGCTTAACCCATTGACTTACAATGACGGCTCCCAGCCGTCATCGCAGCGCTGGGCCAGCTCTGCAATGACGGCTCAGAGCCGTCCGCTGATTGTTCGCGTTATTTCGGTAATTCTCCGGTAGATTGCGTTCTCATCAATGTTTATATGAGTAGTGTGGCCACCCTATGACTTATTGTGTACGGTAATTTCTTGTTTTGATACGGTATTTTCATATTACTGTGCGTTTGCACATGAAATAACCTCAAAATTTTCTGATTTTCGCTGATCTTGCGATTTTTGCAATTTTGACAGCTATAAACCACATAAAAAAATCATTGTGTTCAAAGTTTTCACCATTTTTCTCAAATGTTGTATTGTGAATGCTTATTTTGTCAATTTTCACCCTTTGAGAAATAATTTCTGGATTATTTTGAAGTGTTCAAAGTTGCTGATTTTCGCCAAATTAAATCGTAATTCCTGGTCCGGCAGGGTCAAATTAAATCATAAGTCAATGGGTTAAACTTGTGGAAGTCAGGTTGTTCGTAACGAACGCCTCAACGGTCGATCTTTACAATGGCTTTGAATGGAAAAATATCGATAACTGATTTAAGCCTCAGCAACGGAATTTCTCCTATCGACGGTGAAACTACCAAACCACGTATCTCGGTTTGCGACGTCGCAGACTTCCTGTCATACTTTATTTTTTAAATGAAAAACTACTTAACATCTAGTCTTGAAAATTTCTGTGATTTTTCCTCTTCGTGCGGAGAAAATTCCGTGAAAATTTCAAGGAATGATATGGATTTGGTCTACTTCAAAAAAATAAAATGTGAGCGTAGATTTTTAAACACCGCAAACGAGATACGTGGTTTGGTAGTTTCACCGTCGCTATGCTTATGATCGTCAGCTGATTGTTGAAAGCTAATAGACTTCATGTCACGGAGATGGTAAAATAAAGCTGGGTGCACGCTATCTTGCGGGGAAAAACCAGGCTAAAAAGTTCAAAGCAGTTTTCCTTGCAAAATAGTGGGGACCCAGCATTATTTTACCACCTTGCTGCGTACCAATTTATTTTTTGTGTTTTTTTCTTAACGCTAAGCATTGCCATGTTGAGGGGAAAGGAGTAAGAGGTTGTCATTAAAAAAAATACAGTTCGATTAATTTTTCATTCGCGTAGCATCATAGAAATCAGTAATCTATAGTTTTAGCCCATTTGTACATCGACCGTTTAGGGTCAAATACGTCAAATTTTAAGCGTTTGGTTGCGCGTACACCTCGCTGCAAGCACAGTAAAAGCACAAAATGTAAAAGAAAAAATTAAAATGCTTTGGAAATCGTTGAATTTGACACGGAACCACCAATATTTAAAAAAACTCACATTATATTATTTTTCTCCTTTAATAAATTGATATTTTTTTTTCATCAATTTAAATGAGAATAATCAATGCAGAGTGTGCAAACATTTCAAAATCGGCATGAATTAAAAAACGCTGACTATGCGAGTATCTTAAATATCAGAGCCTAACGGAGCGAAGCGCCGTGCTGCCAGCGTGAGAGGCTCACTGGTGCCTACAAACCTAAGTGGATACTTCACGCATTGCACAATGCTTAAAGTATTCACTTAGGTTTGTAGGCGCCAATGCGCGTTTTGCGCTGGCCGCCCGCCCACCGTGCGGTGGTGTTTGAAGCAACTATTTCACATCAGAGGTGTTGCTTAGTATTATACGAAATTGAACGTATTAAGAATGACAGGCATCCTTTAAAAGTACAGATCTTTCCTCGCAAAACAAATCAAGATACTTATTGTACACAGGAAAAATCTAGGAGCCTTTAGCTGAGGCAAATCAAGAGGTTCGTCCGGTTCAGGTATAACGAGGTAGGAATTTCTTGAAAGATAATTAAATTCTGTTGCACCAATGAGGAGTAGAGAGTTTTAGTGAATTTTGTCTCATGGAATTGACGATTTTTACCAAAAATCTCAATTATATACTATTCTCCGTGGGACCAAAAAAAAAAAAAAAAAAAAAAAAANAAAAAAAAAGAACAAAAAAAAAAAAACAAGCAAATCCTCATTCTTCTAAGACATTATACATTTTCATCCAAAAACGTCGTGAGTAATTGTCGTTTGTATTTACACGTGGACCAATTAACTTTGGGTCGCAACTGGCACGTGGACCAAAACTCACGTGCCGAAAAAACGCAAGGACGTAAATTACTGCAAAAACAGGTGCGCGGACAAAAAATCGTTGACGAAGTGTCCTATAACCCCTCTGTGCGAAGAAAATTCTGCAAAAACTTCAAGGAATGATGTCAATTTGCTCTTCTTTAAAAAAAATAATATGGAGGCGGAGATTTTCAGACACCGCAAACGAGATAGATGATTGCGGACTTACGCCGTCGATGTGTGTGTGTGTTCAACAGGACACATTTAAAGCAAAAGGAACCATATCAATTTTGACAAGAGCCTTGTTATGCATGTGCTGTTGAGAATCTTAGGGCTCATGTCAGAACAGATACAGTTCCTTCTGATTTAAAAATGTCAAGTTAAAATCATTAATAACTCCATGGTTTTAAAAACTGCCCAGTGGCTCCACCCTTGAACATCCTGTATGCTACTCTAATGAAATCGTTACGCACCGTTACATCGGTGGCAGGATGGTCGATGAAGATGAGCTCCGACTCCTCACCGTCCAACAGCACGGACACCGCAGTCTCGTTCCACTCGTCGTCTGAAACAAAAAAAGGAATCGTCAAGAAAAATTATATATCTTAGTTTGATATTAGTTTCAGTAATTGTCGTCGCACAAATCGTGTTTTGCGTGAAATTTTGATTAAAAGACATGTATCAGAATACTTAGATTCCTACTCTGTCTACTGGTTCATTAACTGTTTCTCTGGTTTGCAACAGACTGTCACACACGCTTACAAAGTTCCAGTTATCATCTGTAATCATTCGGGATGCGCAATACTTTATGATACGAATCTTTTAAGTCCGGTGTGGGTGGTGAAGTATCGCACGAAACTGAAGGCGTTTCCGAGACGGGCACCTAGAATAATTTCCTTATATTTTGTAGCGCTGACGTTGGAGAAAAAGTTTGAACAATTCCATCCCATCTAAAAGAGGCCGTTGCTGCGGGCTGATTGTTGGAATTGGTAGACAAAGCGATAGACAAAGAAGACAAATAGGATATAAAGGGATACTAATGGTGAAAGCGGATGGTTGCAATGGAAAAAGAAGGTAGGTAATAGACTAACTAACGGAAATCCACGAAGACCCGATAGTAAGTCCATCACTTCGTCCCTTAATCTATGATAACCACCCATTTCAACCAATAGGATCGCTCCATACTCCGAAGTCTTCTTTGTCTATCGCTTTGTCTATCAGTTTCAACAATCAGCCTGCTGGTAGGTAGCAAGAGATAGGCAGCCGAAAAAACGGATTCCAAAGAAACGATTGTTCATGGGTAAAAAATGTGAAAAGAATGAAATTGGATCTTTTTTTCGTCTCCCCAGATCGTTATCACCGGGATCGCCTTCGCCCGACATTCCCGATTACCTCCTCGCTCATCAATCTCAATACGAAATCAAGCGATTGACTTCTTATCCAGCGTTGAAAGAGTGACATTTGCAGTTCGAGCACTTCATCACTCGCGTACATTCATCGTTTGATAATATCAGTACAGTAGGGCTGATTATTGAAATTGGTCGTATTTATGCTAAAAGGAACCGGGTGAGAAAGTAGGAGTGTGCTCGTTGGTTGAGGGGCATAAGAGTGAGCGGGAATTATACTGCCGTAGGAGGAAAAACGCCGTATGAACCTTCAGGCGTCGCTAAATTTCCTTTGATAAAACACGAATTTCCTGGTGAACTTAGGAAAACTTTCCTTCGAATTTTACAGAAAGTTTTGTTCGCAATTTCACCTAAAGTCCCTGAAAATTTCAAGGAAAAATATCCACACCTTCCCTCATAAATAAACTTTTTATTGAAGGAAATTTGGCAACTCTCGAATGTTCGCACGGCGTTGTTCCTTAGCACGACAGTATAAAGCGCCAGTGACGTCAGTGGCGACGACGGGTAAGAGGAGATTTGAGATGACGTCATTTAATTCATGAGCTGAGCCGTGTCCACAACGGTGTTTTAATATGCCCACGGCTCATAGATTAGCATATTTTGACGAGTAGTTCCTTTTGTTTCAATGTCAAATCCCTCTTTTCCACTGGAGATTTTACATTTTCTCCGAGGATCACCCATTTCAATCCGTAGGATAGCTTCATTTTCCCATATTTTTCTTTGTCTATAGCTTTGTCTATCAATGTTAATGATCTGTCCGCAGGTTAACGATGAAGTATCCATTTCTAAGTGAAGCACTCTTTATCGCAACACCTCGCGAACAGATTTGACACCCTCAGATTTCTCGGTTACCTTCGCTAAATGCTAATTTGATGAAGTCAGCAGCGAGTTGATCATTGAAATCATACGAGGCGGCCGACAAAGAGGACGACATGAAAATGGAGCGATATCATTGGTGGAATGAGTGATTGCAATGGACAAAGCAAGTAAGTGATGGATCAACTCACAGCAATCCATTTGAGATTTCACATTTTCTCCGAGGATCACCCATTTCAATCATGTTTCAATCCGTAGGATACCTTCATTTTCCCGTCTTTTTCTTTGTCTATCAATGTTAATGATCTACCCGCAGGTTAACGATGGAGTATCCATTTCCAAGTGAAGCCCTCTTTATCGCAACACCTCACGAACAGATTTGACACCTCCACATTTCTCGGTTACCTCCGCGAAACCCGACACCCCCCTCCCCCAGGTGCGGGGCACATGTTTGCGAAAGCTCTTACATGTGGCTCTTGTTTCCGGATGGATGCATAAACGAGAGCGCAGTTGCCAATTCGTTGAGAATATTCCAATCATCGTGTCGAGAACAATCACAAACCTTCGAATACGCGGCAACGTTGCAACGCCGATCACCAGCGTGTTTTCAAGGGTCTCGCCAGGTTCTTGGAAGTTCCTCTTCCGCGAACTCCCGTCCCGAGAAAAAACGCCGTATGAGCTTTCTGAGAGTTGCCGAATGTTCTCCGATGAAAAGCTGATTTTCCGGAAAATGTTTCATGTTTCAATATTAAATTTTCGGAGAATGTTATTCGGAAATCGGAATGGGAGCGCATTTGTACTCACGGAGAACAAATTTCGTGCGCGGGACCCGAAGTTGAGGTCATATGGATCTCTGAAGTTTCCAGATCACGTAACTATAAACTTGAGGTCCAGCTGCCGAAGTTCGGGTCAGACATCTGAAGTACTTCGATATATACCGAAGGGTTCGGGTCACACATCTGAAGTACTTCGGCACATACCGAAGTGCCTCGATGTCTGACCCGAACTTCGGCAGCTCGACCTCAAGTTTTCGGATGCATGATTAGAAAACTCCAGAGATCCATAGGACCTCAACTTCGGATCCCGTGCACGAAGTTTTTCTCTCCGTGTGCGTTGCGTATATCGACGGTGAAAGTCGGCAATCACATAACTCGTTTGCGGTGTCTGAAAATCTCCGCATGTACGTCATTTTTTTAAAGGAGAACAATTGTTTCTTGAAGTTTTTGCAGAATTTTCTTCGAATTGAGAAGAAAAATCATGACAGTTTTGAAGAATTGCCGTTGAGTAGTTTTCCATTTAAAAAATAAAGTATGACAGGAAGTCTGCGACGTCGCAAACCGAGTTATGTGATTGCCGACTTACACCGTCGATATTTATGATGCGTCCAGCATGATTTGGACCATATTTTGCAATTAAGAACTACAATTTCAGGTTCATCCATAGTAGCACTTGTCTGCATGGGGAATTTTAGGGCAAATATGATGTTTCTAACATGAGCCAAATTTTAGTTCCTAATTGCATAATGTAGTTCATTTTTGAGCGAAAAATTCAAGAAATACATCCATCCGTACTTCCTCTCGTTCGTTGAAAACGTCGTTTAAACTTCCAGGAGTTGTAAAATGCTCTCTGATGACAGGCTGATTTTCCGGAAAAATTGTAAGGTTCTAGTTTTAAATTTTCAGGGAACATCATTCGAAATCACAGCGCATTTTAATTTTGTCACTCATTTTTTTTCGCTTTTTTGACCTTAGGTCCCCCTCCGATGTATAAAAACGTCTTATAAACTTTTGAAAGTTGTCAAATGCACTCGATTGACACTCTAAGTTTCCAAAAAATTTAAGATGTTGAATTCTACATTTTCGGATAATTTTTTTCGTAATGGGAAAATTTTGAATTTGAAATAATATATTGTGTACATTTTACTCATGCTATAAAAGTAAGTTTAGCATCATAAATTGCATAAATTATGGTGAAACTACCAGACTACGTATCTCTCTCACGATTTTTAAAACTCTGCGCTTCCATTTTATTTTTTAGATAGAGAACAAATTGATATAATTCCTTGAAATTTTCACAGAGTTTTTTTTCTGACACATAGAAAAAAATCATGGAAGTTTTCTAGGATTGACATTATTTAGTTTTTTATTTAAAAAGCAAAGTATGACAGGAAGTCTGCAACGTCACAAAGCAAGATACGTGGTCTGGTAGTTCCATCGTCGATACGGCCGGATGGCCTTGAGGAAAATGGAAGGGGGGAGGGGGATTGCCTGTGAGGAAAAATGCCAGAAACACACATTTCCCAACGCTGATAAACGCCTAACTAAAAATTTAACATTTAGAATTTAAAAATTACTAAAAGAATTCATTTAAATTCCAGCTAATTAGGTGCCAGCAGTTGCGGTTAAACCTAGAGTTAACTAACTATATCTCTAGATGTATTATATTGATTAAAAAATATATTAGGAAAACAAATTGTAAATAAGTAAAATTTTTAAAATTTAAAAAAATCTTATCAATAAAAATTTAAATTTCTGTTAAAAACTAGGATTAGATACCCTATTATTAGAATGATTTAACGCTCTTTAGTCTGAAAAACGACGACTTGGTAACATTCAAATGTTCATAAGTCGATCATTCTTAGAGAGGCGGAATGAATCGATGTTCAATCTTGTTTAGACCCGGTGTCCAGCCCTACTCCTGTTTCCCGAGCGACCACTGCGGTTTGGGATTCAGCGCTTAGGACTTTTCTAGGAATTTGCAGTTTGCTAACGGAGTGAGAAAATGGTCGTTTCGCAAATCAAGGGCCGCTTGAGTGCACGCATTACTAACGTTAAACGAACGGGTTGTTTGGACAAGAGCGTGACCGCCGAATGTTCAGAAATTGAGTTTTCAACGGGATATTATTTTAGAGGACGGAGACATCTTACCTTAATCAAGCAATTTTAACATAATTGCTCTGAAAACGTCTTTTTTTCAACATTTTAAGATCTGATTCAGCTGAAAAGCCAATTCTTTAAAACTTTCGTGATTTTTCCTCTTCGTGCAAAACAAATTGGTTAGTTTAGCTGGTCACAGAATCGTGTTTTGATGGTTGGTTCTTGTAGATTAGCTTAACATAATAGGTTTTATCAAAACTGCAACTCTAGGACTCTAGTTCCATCCAGCGATTGCGATCCTCAAGCGCACAACACCTGAGTTCCTGAGTGGCCTAGACTAGAGGGCCAAAAAGTACTGCTCTAAGAATTAGTCGGTTGCGTTAGTCACAGAATTGTGTTCTCGTACTTGATTCTTGTAGATGAGCTTAAAATAATAAGATCTGTCCAAACAGCAACTTTATACGTTC